CGGTGCCCGCGGCCAGAGGCGTCCCCGCGCCCGGAAGGGCTTGGGAGGGGCACTGGGATACAGACAGCGGGAAGCGGGGAAACGAGTTCGTGTTTTGTTCTGGCGTCGGTGAGCGCGCAAGCAGCAGCGGGGGGGGCGGGCGCGGTGGCGCGCCGTGAGCACCGGCAGGGCCCAGCGCCGGCCGCGGCCCCGGTTGGTTCACGCGCTTTTTGCACAGTTGACAGAAAAAGTAACTTTAAGCTTGCATTGTGCACTGATGCTGTATTTACATTTATTAAATATTACAAACATTCATTTAAGTATTACAGAGGTGTTGTAGGCATCTATGGCGCTACCAACATGGGGATCACATGAGCAACAGTTTAATAAATAGTACTGACTGAGCAATGGATCTGACTTCTGCATGAGCTCATTTTTCTAGTTCACAAGTGAAACAGTGAATCAGTGCCTACCATAACACAGGTCTGATAGCACAATAATGTAGTGTTCACATTCAACCATTATTATTAAAAACCCATCACGCCGACGGCTGAGCATCCCCTGCTGCGAGCTCCCCACCACTGCCGGGACACACAAGTTACTGACCGGGGGCCAGAATCCCCGTTCCTCTCACCGAGTTCGTGTCGCTGCCTGTGCCCGAGACGCGAGTGCTTCACGCTTCCTTGGGACGTGAGCTGATTTCAAAGGGCATCGTTGGTTATTATAACAAATAGCACCCATTAAAATTTAACAGCAAGTCTGAACTTTTACACTCCGTTTATCCTAACGCATTCAAAAATCTCTAAAAACTTGGGACTTCTCCGAAGCCCTAGGCAGCGGCTCAATGGCTTGCATTTATGCCAGATCAGCACGCGCTCTCCCAGCGCGTCACAACTGAAGGGTTTTGTCACTTCGCAGTTGCGCTGAGGCCGGGCAGCAGCGCATTGCTGGCCTGAAGGTTCCCTGGGGGGAGAAGGTGTGCCCTGGCTTCCAGTGCCTCTGCTCCAGCCCTGGAACAGCGCTGTCCTTCACCAACGGCGAGCACCTGGTTTAGAAGCAGCAGACAGGTGGGCGCTGGGAGGTTTTGTTCTTGTCTTGTTCCTGCATCCTTTCATCATCTTACAACTGTCGGTGACAGGCAGGAATGAACCTCAGGGCCAGCCACCAGCAGCTGTTCAATGCTCGTGGTTTTCGACAAACATGAGGCTTCAAAGATACATATTTTGCATTGAAAAATTACACACATTGAGTTCACTGCAGTTTTGTTCGACACAAAGATCACCTTCATGCTCTTGCAATGTCGTGTTTTAAAGCTCCACCTGCCTTTGAACCACACCTGGCTGTGGAGATTTCCAGGAGAAACATTCACTTACTTTCTTTCATTCACCTGCCCGGCCCACGCATTTCCAACAGCGTCAGAGCTCAATTCCCCACACCTCTTTACAGTTTAGAGTCTTTACACAAATTACACTGGATCCTGAAATAGCTCTCAGTGGGATGGCTAACGAAGCAAAATGCTGAACCCAAGCGCACATGTGCGTGTGACATGACATAGTAAGGTGACACACAAAGACATCAAACCAAGATCTATATATACACCACAGAACTTCACATCAAAGCTCAGAGTTGAGTGCCGCCTGCTACCAGCAGTCAAACGCAAGTGAGAAATAGTACAAAAAGGTGAAAGAACAAAAAAATGTTGAAAGTGCTTATGATCAAGAAAAAAGAAGTATTACAAACTTGGGGCCTACCTGCTTGGCAAGCTGCTTCCATCATATCTGATGCATCCAGTAAAACCAAGGTTTCCTTTTTGGGGGCAGTGCTGGTGTCGGAAGTTCCCGCCACACCCTACGGCAGCCCTGTGTAGCCTCCCTCTTGTAACAGCTGTTTCTGATGTCGTTTTGTAAGCTGGCCTGGGGAACTGATCTGGGCTCAAAGAGCCTCTCTGCTCCCCAGGGCATTTCCTTACTGGGATCCCTGCCACCAGACTGCATGGCCCCGCAGCAGCTGAAGCAGGACCGGGTGAGGGCCAGCAAAGGCAGGAAAGGAGCAGGGACACTCCTCACAGCCACCTCCTCGGCACTGGGAAGGCTTTGCCATCTTGGACTTCCCACACAACTCATGCTTCCTTTCAGTCTCTCTCTCCCCCCTCTATCCTCTTCCTAATTTTCATAAAACCTGGGGAAAAAATAAAGTATATTTTTAAGGCCTACACCTTCCTGTAGAACATGGCTGAACCCAGACAAGCAAATCCAGCGTTAGAGGGGAGCTGACACACGCACAAGAAGACAACACAGCTGCACCTTGCTCCCTTGGGGAACCCGGCTAATGAAAAGCCCCACATTGCAGGATCTATACAAGCTATGAGGTGAAAACAAATCCTAAGAAGTCACTGCAATAACGGTTCAGTCAAATGCATTTGTATTACTGCCTGCATGGCAGGATGCAAAACAAGGACTGGTGAGAAGGCTGGGGTTGGCAGGCTCAAAACACCAGCTACTTAAATGCTACCTGTGGATTCTGCTGGCCCTGGCACTGCCGTGCTGCGCTGGGAGCCTGCCGCGGGAGTCTCCCAGCAAAGAGGTGACAAAATGATGACCAACCTGCCCATCTCAAGTTGCTTTCTAGACAAAATCTGAAGATCTCTTATTATGTTTTGAAATAGTAAATAAATCCAGTGGATCACTTAGCATTCAATTTCTCCATGCGTAACATATTCTAGTAAGTTTCTTCAGTTGTCACCTTTGCTCAAGTCACAGTTTAGCACTCTGAAAAGCCCGAATGCTGTTAAACAAAAAGAGAGCAGTTTGTATCAAGGGGGGATGTTACCAACTTTCCCGTGTCTCTCATTTCCTACTTCCATTCCACAAAGTCACACATCTTAAATTTGACTTTAAAAAGTAGTTACCGTGGTAAGACTTTTCCCTGAAAAAAGAAAATATCTGTGCATCAGCCAAAGACCCCACTGCAAAGCCATGCAGGGTTGTCTTTTTATTTCTCAAGGGCCCTGCCAGTGAAAAAACAGCAAAGCAAGCACTTCTCTCCAACTGCCGGGGCCTGCAGAGCACTCTTCTTCTGGAAAACAAGCGCACGCTTTCGACTTGTGCTCTGGGGCTACCGCTTGACATTTCTTCCCTCGCTCCCAGCCTGTGTGCTCTTCTCTGCTCTGGCATTTGAAAGTGGAATTAGAGGCATCCTGTAACTGCCCACAATTGCTGGGTGGGATAACCTAGTTATTGAAGTGATATTGCTCTGTACGTACCACACACTTAGCTCGTGGCAGCGGAGCATTTCTATAGCTACCTTCAGAGTATCGAGATTTCACCTTAAGCCCAGTAGTCCATAGAAATGCAGGGTATTTTGTTTGGCTTTACTCATCTTAGCATCAGATTATAGTTCCACCCAGTGATTAATGAAAACAAATCTGGTTTTCACAGTAGTTCCTACATAGCTGCACAAAGTATTACAAGAGAGTAATTTGAAAGCTTTCATGATAAAAGAATGACAGGACTGAAAAACATATTTGTATTTCTGAATTGTTTAAAATAAAAACAAATTTTACCTATTTTTTAGTGATGTGCGCCAAGAGATTGTATTAGACGTTTCATGAGGTAATCAGTACTGTTATGAGCACTGCATCTGCTGTTTTCTGAAGCAGCAATGCAAGAATTAAATGTTTACACGTTATACACACAGACACAGCCATGTGACCGCATAGCGCTGGGAAGGTTACCTACTGCTTCCCATTTATTCAGTTCAGGG